GTGGTACTCCTTTAATAAAAAATAGAAATGGGAAATATCTTTTTAATAAAAACTTCTACATATGAAGGAAAGAGGGAAATTCAGCCTGGAGAATGGATGATTTAAGAGAGACATCAAGTCTCAAGTCACAGTGAAACTCTTAGCTTTTATAAAAAGTCTTTCTTGATCCCCCTTAATGCTAGACTCTTCCTTATGGGATTACCTCCAATTTATCCTGTATATATCTTGTTTGCACATAATTGTTTGTATGCTTTTTTCCCCCGTTAGACTATGTGAGAGCACAGACTATTTTTGCCTTTCTTCTATTCCAAGCACCCAGGAGAGTGTCATGCATATACATATATACAGAAGGTACTTAGTAAGTGCTTTTTGACTTGATTTGTCATAATAGCTAAATTCAAATATTGAGATGTTGTCACTTGGGAGAAGGATTTGTTCTGCTTGGCCCCCGAGGGTAGCCCTAAAACAATGGTTAGAAATTGAAAGTGGGTAAATTCAGGCTTTATGTAAAGAGCTATCGTTAAGTGGAATAAGCTGCCTCAGGAAATGGCTGGTGTCTCTTTTGAAAGCTGGGGGTGTTAAAACAAAGACAATATGACTCTTTAGCAGATGTATTATAGAGAGCCGAGTTGTAACTAGGGTAGGGCAAATGGAGTTATACTTTAGATTGGGTAACTTACAGGGTGCTGACAATGTCATCCCCTGAATGTATGCTTTCCACTGACTACCTTGTGCCTGGGGTAATGTTTTTGGATTATACTTCTCTACACCTCCCCAGGCCACACTGTAAGTGAACCTACCACACACCCACTGCCCAAGGTGACCATGGGTCTCTTGCTAGTTACAGCTCCAATGGAGAACTCGTGTTCAGATGTGGTTTGGAATAAATAGCCATTGAGATTCCTTCCTACTCCAAAATTCAGCCATTTCTGTGAATGGCTTGTCAAAGGATATCTCTATATGCCACCTGTGAACATCAAATCAGTAATGTCCCCATCTTCCTTTTCCTTTAGCAGCAATGAAGTTTAGGGGTTTATAGAGTGTTCAGGGAGCACTAACACCTCTGGTGTGAGGGCTTGCAAAGTGTCCTTTTCCAGGCTGCTCATCCACCTTTGGGGTCCACTTTTCACCCAACTCTCACCTGTGGCTCTAAGAAGCTATAGCATGTGCAGCAGCCATACTCCTAAACTATTTCACCAGATGGGCTAAACCTATTGAGGGTAACCAACAGGCCTCAAACCTGTTGGTGAGTTAGATTGATGTCTACCCCAAGCATGTGAAGACTTCCCCCAGCAGACCGGGAACAATTTGTTCTGCTGGCCATGAAGGTAGCTGAAGCAGGTGCTGTGGAGCACTTTAGAGCTTGGTTAGACATGGAAGATACCAAGGTCATCCACTGCATCCTGGGCCATTCTTCAATGACTAGAAGAGACAGTGAGGCTTTGACTTTGCAGATGACTCTGCCTGACTTAAATCCAATTCACACACAAGTCAAGACACAAAGGATAAAAAACAACAATTTAAATTTAGAATGAACGATGTTCATGAAATTGACTCCTTTGAGCTGTCATAATCTGACTGGCTAAGTGAGTTCTTTGGGGGTAATGGTCCTGAAGCTAGCTAGTATCATGGCTTAGAGGTAATTAGAGGTGAATGATATTTGATCAACAGTGAGTCACTCTCCCCAGTTTTTCAGTGAGCACTGTGCAATACCTATGTATGGTTGTGCAACTAGAAGCCATCAAAATGCAAGTCTCTCATTATGAATCAGGTGATATTCACAGCAGTGATATGCCCAGGAATGGAGGTTAAGCCTGCCTTTGCATGTCTATTTTAGGATAATAAATTCAGAGTTCCTGGCTCACACATGAATGAGATGTTTCAGATTTTCAAGGCCATGTTTCCTATTCATTTCTCTCCATATGGTGATTGTGATGGCAGGAAGATGCCATACAGCTGGCGGGAAATCTCTTCCTATAACATCTTTGCCCCAGATGCTTACTTAATACAGGAAAATCATAAGAGCATGCAGGCCAACTCTTGATTGGTTAGTTTTAAAAGTCACATAAGCATTCTAACATCTGTTTCTAACCCACTAGAATGGTAACAAGCAGACCAAAGACAAGGGTTTACCCTATAGATTCTTTATGCCAAATTTACTTAAGATTAGAATCAACACCTCACTTCTGCTGGGTACTAGGGGTAACAACATGAACTTGGAGGTAGATCGAAGGAAGCTCAAAGCTTCTGTACTTCTAGACCCAAAAGTCTAGATTCCATTCAATTGAGCCAACATTTTTCAAGCATGTACTACATGCAAGGTGCTGTGTTCTAGGAAGGAAGCACATGAAGATGAAACCAAAATATGATCAAGGTTATTGTCTAATAAGGGGATAAGAAATGTATATACATTTCCAGCTGCTACCCTTATCCTATACTTTTTCTTTTATACCTCTCTGATGCACTTATGTATTATTATTTATTATACTATTCTGCTCATGGGTCATATCTCTTTACTAGACTGTAAGTTCAGTGAGGTCAGGCACCATATTTCATCTATACTTTTCTTTTTTTAATCTCATTATTTGGTAAAGTGCTCTGTACACAACGGGCACTGCATAAATGTTGGATCAAATTAAATTATATGATACAAGGCAGAATAAGATAAACCTAAAGGAGGAGCAGAGATAAAGTAAGATTATAACTTTGAAGAGGGCAAGAGACAGATTATTTCCATTTAGGGAGGATCAGGTGAAGCTTCATGGAAGGGGTGAACTCTGAGTAGAATCTTGAAGAAAGGGAAAGATTTTAAAAAATTATTTTTTTGTTACAAACTTAATCATGGACAAATACAAGCATTTGAATATACAAAGAAGAAAAAAAGCACTGTATATGAAACCATGTGTTTCTGTTAGTTTATTTTTAACTATATATTAAATTTAACAAGGTAGTAATGAAATGGCCTTGTTTTTGTTTTCTGAATTTTAAAAGTATGTTATTGATGCTTTTCTTCCTTTATAATTTCATTTCATTTCAAAAGCTATCAATATCCACTTATTAGGAAGAGGCAGTGATATGAAGTGGAAGTAGTGTTGGCCTCAGAGCCAAGGTTCAAATCTCACTTCTGACTTAAATTGTCTGTGTGACCCTAAGCAAGTCACACAGCTTTTCAATGTCTTAGGTGACTCTTTACAACTTTAAATTGCAGAGAAGGTGCTTGCTTGCATTGTCAAAGGATATCTCTATATGCCACATGTGAGTATCAAGTTCCTCATCTGGGAGTTCCCTATACCAATGAAATTATAGAGCTGGTTCTCATCTTCTCAGTATCTACTAATTCACTCCTTCTACTACCAAGAAGAAAGTCTCTCAAGTAAGTATAATTAAGCAAAACAAATCACTACATTGGCCATGTATTAGAATGTGTGTCTGGCCCTTCATTTATAGCTCATTGCTTCAGAGAAGAATTTCAACAAAGTTGTGAAAGGAGTATATTCTTGGCATGAGAGATGGCTTGGGCCAATCCATGGTGTCAGGTGACGACAAAGAAAAGGTTAGGTAAGCAGTTGTATGAAGGGTAATAATATGAAATGAGTTTGGAGTTAGACTGTGGAAGGCCTTGAATGCTAAGCCCTTCATAATGTGATTTATCACCTGCCTAATCACTTCTTCATTAATTGGTCTGGTGGCCAAGGTGTTTCCCTCCCCCCATTTTGTATCACCCTTCACACCCACACTATTCCCCTCCCCTTGTTGGGGAGTATGTATGTAATTTTGGTCAACTGTAAACTTCTCTAACTAGACTGAAAAGTTTTCTAGTTCAAAGACTACATTTTATATTTATATAAGCTAAAAGAGTTTCCTCACCTGATGCTCCCTATATCCATTAAATCATAGGTTCAGTCCCTACCCCATCTTTAGCTATTATATTTATTTCATACTATAGGATCCTGGGGGCATAGATTTAGAGGTAGAAGGGACTTTAGAGGTTATCTAATCCATATCTCTCCTTCCCCTCAAATTTTACAAATGAAGACAATGAAACTGAAAGATGAAAATTTGCTCGACTAAGACCTCAACAATAATGAATAGTTTCAAAATATAGGGAGGCTAGCTAGAAATGAGTGAAAGTTTAAACCTGGGTTACCCAAGCCAATTTGCTCAATTTTAGGCAGATTATGGCTTTCCAGAACTTGCTTTAAAATATTTTAAAATATTCTGGGTCTCAGTTTCCTCCTCTGTAAAATTGAGTTAGATAGCCTTTTATGTCTCTTACATCTCTAGATCTATGATCCTCTTATCCTAGGAACTGATTGCTTTTGAGACTTGTATGATCCTGATGATCCTGGTTTTCTAGGAAAAGAGAGGCAAGACTCCATCATGGGACACTTTTAGGTCTTTCTTCAAGGATGAAGACTAGATTTAAATGTGGTTACTCATTGGGAGTAAATGAAATTATCTGTAATATAGGAGCAGAGAAAGGAATACCATGATTTCCATCATTAAGTCCAACTTATTACTGATGCAAGATGTTAATTAGGATCACAACTTTAGAGCAGAAAAACACATTTGCAATGATTTGGGCCATGATTCTGAGACTCAGAGATGGTGACTTACCTAAAGCCACACAGGGATCAAGCATGAGATCAGGGATTTGAACCCGTGTTTTGTGACTCCAAATCTAACTCCACTGTTCTGTTCTGGAGCTCCTACTGTCAAGTGTTGTCTCAGCTATGGCTCTAAGAAGCCTTAGCATAAGCAGAGGCCATACTCTGGTAAACCATCTCAGCAGACAGACTAAACCATGTCAAGGGTAGCCAACAGGCTTTAAATCCCATGGTGAGTTAGGGGAATGTAAAAACTTGTGGTGGAATGGGCAGATAGGAGCAATTTGTTTCAGTGGCCATGAAGACAGCTGAAGCAGGTGCTGTGGAGTGCTTAGAGCTTGGTCAGACATTGGAGACACCATGGTTATCCACTGCATCCTGGGCCATCAATTTTGTCCTGCCACTGGACTTGGTACACTCTGGAGCAGAGTGAGGCTAACAGATTTGTGCCAGCCTAACTTAAATCCAATTCATGGGCAAGCCAAGACATCATTCACTCGTGATGTTTTGGAAGACAAAGGACAAACAACAACAACCACCAAATACCAGTTATGCAAGTATTTGAGAAGGAGATTAAATTGAGGAGCTTCCTAGAAGTTACATATTGACAGAATCATCAATTTTTGGAGCTGGAAATCATTTTAGAGATCACCTAATCCAATCCCTTTATTTTATAGATGAGGAAACAGATTGAGGGAAATTAACCTCCATCATGGTACAGTGTGAAAATATACTTTGTTCAGAATTAGAAGCCCAGGATTTGAGTCCCATCTCTAACATTACTAGTTCTGTGATCATGCACAAATTGTGTTATCCTTTTGAAACTCAATTTCCTCATCTGTGAAATGAAGATGCTAATACTTTATTGCCCATCTCACAGTAGTACTGTAAAGAAAGTGCTTTGTATAGGGTCAAGGACTATAGAAACATGAGCAGTTATGATTGACTTGTCCAGGGTCACAGAGCTAGCAAATGGGAGAACCAGGATAAAAATGCAGGTCAGGAAGCATTTCTTTTGTTTAGCAGCTTTCACCAGGTCTCCTCAGTAACAATGTATTCTCTCCTGCCCCATGTGCACACGTCAAAATTCATCACTTGATCCCCACGACCCGATGATGAGATGCTTTTTTGAAATGAGTTTCCCTGGTCTCTTTCCACTACTGCTTGGTAGGTTTTGTTTTATTTTGTTTTTTCCAGCCACTTCTTAGTACACTGAAATCTTATGTTCCCTTCCCTTCAGTTGCCCATATTCAATGCATGTACTTTGGATTTGGAGAGATTTATTTTTACACTTGAAAACAATGTATCAGTGTGATATGGAGTGAAGATGGGCCAAAGGAGTGACTTGTTGATATGGCTTTAGTCGGTTCTAGAAAGAGTCAGATAGCTCCATTTTTTTTTCTAGATGTCTCAGGCCAGGGGACTGACAAGATCATTGTTTCTCTCAAATTGTCTACAACCGTGTTTTATGCCAAAATGAAGAAAATCGCTTCTCCATTCTCTGATGTTTTTGCTTTTAAGAGTGTAGGAATTGATTATAGAAACCCTCACACAAAATTAAGCAAAAGCCTATTTCAGGGGCCTTAAATAAGAAGAACACATGTCTATCCTCTGACTCATGAGGCAATTAACATGAACTCTGGTGAATACATCGGTTGTATCTAAGAGCAAGGTTACAGCCACCATGAGCTGGAGGAAGAATTGCTAGAAGAAAAAAAATAAATTAATAAAAAATAAGACTCTTTTTTAAAAAACATAGCTATTTTCCTGAACGGTGGAAATAGAAAAGCCCCCCTTTTCTCACCCATAATTCTATTGGGGCTGTCTTGCCCCACCCTCCTTTCCTTGAAAATGAAAGATTGAGGCATTAGCAACAGGCTTTTTTTGGGGGGAGTTGGGATTGTAGAGACAGGCGAGAAGAGGGTTGTGTGCACGCACAAGCTTTTCATATGATAATCAGTTGATTCCATGACAACCATTGAAAAAAGAAGGGCTGAAAACAAAAGCTACTGCTGGAGAGGGGCTCAGGGCTGCATTCACTGTGTCTGTAAGAAGCACTGCAGAGCCTTGTTCCTCTGAAAGGTATCTGATGGCAGATTGTCAAGGGGTTTTGTTTTTAGCAGGGCAGAGTCAGGACATTAATCATGCAGAGCTTTATGAGTCCAAGTTTCACCCTCCATGTGGCTGTGCCTTCTTAAAGGCTTTGGATGAAGGATCTAAAACCCAGAGGCTATCCTGCTCTTGCCATGGCTGCTTCCATGAGGGAATGGGAGTAGAAATCTGCCTAAGGGATCATCTGAGATAAAGCAATCCCAGGAGACCCACAGTGCAGTTTAGCTGTGGGCAACAAAGGGGGACAGATGGGGGAGTTTTTAGATTTAGTGCTGAGGAGAAGTTTGAAACTCTGGAATGGAGGGGTCTGCAGCAATTGGTGGTACTCCTTAATCCCTTTTCAACAAGGCATTTGAATGTGGTATCATACTCTTTTCCCATCCTCCTCCTCACTCCCCTCCTTATCAGAGATTTGATAAATCAGCACATGACAGTGTCAGGCAGAGTCATGCCATCTATGACCCAGGCAATAACCCAATAGAGGCATTCACTCCTGGAAGCTACACAGACAATGAATAGAAATCATTATAAGTGCATTATATTTAGCTGCTGCCTGTCACTGAGTCACATGGAACATCCAAGATCTAGATCAGGGATTCTTTACCTGGGGTCTGTGAACTTGGATAGGAAAACAATTGCATATCTTTTTTTCACTAACATCTAAAGGAAATTCAGCATTTTCTTCAATTGTGAATTCTCTATATATGTATATGTGTGTGTGTTTGTGTGTGTGTGTGTGTGTGTGTGTATGTATGTATAGTGAGATGTCCATAGGTTCCACCAGCCTGCCAAAGAGATCCATGACACATACAAAGGTTAAGAACTCCTATCCTGGATCTTCTTGATGATCCAAGAAAAGCCTAAGTGATAGGGTTTTGTAAAACTCAATAACCATCAAATCATTTGTCAGGAGTCAAGGGCAGGAACTGTATTTTCATCTCTAGTATTTAACATAATACCTAACACATAGCAGTGATAAACACTTGCTTGCTCCATTAGGACTACCAGGAAATATTACACGGTGTTTGCAATCAATCAACAAATAATTATTTAGTGCCTATTGTGAGGCAGGCACTATGCTAGCTACTGACTACATAAGTCTTTAGGAACTATAAAATAGATTGAATATTACTGACAATATGACCTTTGTGTCCAGTCTTGTTATTCTCTCATGCATATTACACAGATTTTGGTTGAATTATATTGAATTACTCATTCTTTTTTCTTTCTTTTTCTTTCTAGTTTAGGGATTGCCAGAAAGTCCACTGCAGCCACCCTGCAACAGATACAGAGTTTTCTCTGTTTGAATGCACACAAGAGTTTTCATCACAATGGAATGCTTATGGAGTTACATATTTCAAGGACATTAACACCAAAACGCAGCTTAATTGGGAGTCCAGTCATGGTGATGAATGGCAATGTCAAAGTGATTAGTAAAAGAATTTGCAATTTGTTCCTGCAACCTCGCCCTGAGCATCTACTTCAGTGAACAGAAAACATCATCTCTGCTTTTCCTTCTCAACTATGTGGATTTGTATGACATCCATGCTTAAGCCTCTAGGATGAGTAGAATTATGGGACTGAAAAGAGAAATGGCAGGAGTCCTGAAGAATCAGAATCAGAGAAATGAAAGTAGTTACCAAATCTAATCAAAGTAATCATAGGCTACTGGAAATGGAAAGGACTTTAAGGGATGGGAAACCCAAGGCCTAGAGAGGTCTCAATTCAATTTAACATTTATTCAGCTCTTACTGTATTCAGAGCTCTGTGCTAGGAGTGGGATTGAGTTAAAATTAAATGACTCATTCTTTATCCTCATAGTGATAGGGACTGACCTGTTATTTCACTGTTATGGAAAATTCTTGGGTGAGGAAATTCCATCTTCTAATACAGATTGACACCTTCTCTGCCATTTTTAATCTTAGAGAGTTACCTAGAGGATAGAGGGGTTTCCTGACATTCCCCATGTCGCACACCCTGTATATGTCAGCCATGGGACTTGAACCTATGTTTCTTCCTAGGGCAATTCTCTGGCCATGCTGCCTTACTATATGTGTTACCTTCAAAACAGTCTCATTTTTGTGCATGTTTTGCTTTGTATTTTTCAATGTGAGATTTGTCTTCAAAATTATGGAGTCATAAGGATCTATTCAGGCTTAGGAATCATTTCTCTTTATGCTTTAAGTGCAGGACAAAACCAGAACTATGCCCGATAGATGGATAAAAAATCTTATTATGTATTATACATGCCTATACATATGTCTGTCTGTCTGAACTTATGATTTCATTGTACAGAGATCCTAGTGAAGAAAATCCCTCTACCAATACAGATCAGTAAATCTTCTGCCAATTATAGTCTCAGAGAGTAGCCTGGGGCACTGAGGCAAAGTGACTTGTCCATGGTCAGAATACCAACATGTGTCAGAGCAGGGACTTGAACCCAGGTCTTCTGGACTCTGAGTCAGATCTCTATCCAACATTCTGGGCTCATGCAGCCTATTTAGATAGATAGATGGAAAGACTGAATATTTATTAATCACAAGGCAATTAATATGCCAGGCACTGTGCTAAGTGCTGGGGCTAGAATACAAACACTCTAGGGGAAGACAACATACATAATGGTGTAGGAAAGGAAGAGTCAGGGAGAAAGGAATAGTACCTATATGTCCTTCCTCAAATGACTCCTGTGGGGAGGGAGTCATGAATGAGAAGAAGAGGGCTCAAGGGCAGAGGTATCTCAGGGTACTAACACAGCAAATGAGAAAGATGAAGAATTTGGGGAGAGACCTATTTGTATACATAATGCACATTTGAATCTGATTGGCTGCTGAAATAGACCCATTCTCAATAATATAGTAAAGAGAAATAAACATGTTCCCATAAAAAAGAGAAGAGAGGAAGGGGATTTCTTTCTTTTCAAAACACTGGGTACAGCATTGGAGACAGCTATTACCACTGATTAGCTCTCCATGTAGGCAAGGGGACCAGAACACATGCTTTCTTAGTATTCTCATTTAAGTAAGGAAGAATATCTATGAGGTGGTGGAAGAGGATTTTCTTTCTTTCACACAGGATTGTTTTACTCTAGCCTTCACCCCCCCCCAAAAAAAAATCAACCATTTGCTTCTTGGATAGTATGAAGTTGTTTTTTTTCCTTTTCTTTTCTTTTCTTTTCTTTTCTTTTCTTTTCTTTTCTTTTCTTTTCTTTTCTTTTCCTTTTCTTTTCTTTTTTTTTTAAACATTTCCAGGGTAAGGAAAAAAAGCAGCAGGTATCTGTCACCCCTAGGAATTTGACCGAATGGTAATATAGTAAGTTGCCTGATTCGGTTCATAGAAGAAATTTAAATATCTGCTTCTGTGTTGAAGAATGAAAATGTATTTATTAAACATTTCCTATGTGCCAAGTACTGTATTAAAATTCTGAGGCTAAAAATACAAAATCAAGACAACCACTACCCTCAAGGTACTTGCATTCCAATAGGGAAAGATAAATTTTGATTCCATAAAATTTAAAAAACTTTTATATGAGTAAAATCAATATAGACAGAAGATAAAAAGATGTAGACTAGGACAAAATCTACATCAAACATCTTTGATTTAAGTCTGATACCTAAAGTCTATAAGGGAAATGATACAAATCTATAAGACTACGAGCTATTTCCTAAGAGAAAAGTGGTTATTATGGAAGATTTCAGATGCAAATCAAATGGGAAGTTCCTGTGATTGTTAAGGTGCATTGGTGAAACAGATGGAAATGTGTCATTTTAAATGTCATTTCCCCAGATAAAATCATATCACTTTCTGATGTTGAGCCATTTGCCAGTTCCAAGGACTTTGGTAGCACAAGTTTCTTTTCTGGATCTTTAATCATTGTAGCTAAAGTATCTTTGGGAAGGGTTGCTAGGTCATATCTCCATAGGGTTTGCTTCTTGGGATGATGGCTGAAAAAGCTGGATTAGAAGAAGAACTGGTGATCTGGGAGGAACTGTCACTCCTAGGGATCTATGATTTATCTTCCCATTAGTAGCACCTGCTCAACAGTTGGTATATATAGTGATAAGAAGTGAAATCTTTCTTCACAGTGATTTTTTACCTTAATGATGGCTATGGGCCCAGAATAGAAGTAGGAAAAGGAGTCCAAAAAGCACTGCTATTCCTAATGCTATTTAGTTCAGGATCCGGGGCTATCTCCTTTGGGCTCTGAGGGGAAGTGGTAGTCAAGGGCTAGGGGTCATGGTTTCACTTGCCTGATACAAGCTGCCACCTCTCTCTCTCTCTCTGAGGAAGCCTTGCTGCTTCAGGTAGGCTGTCTTGCATTCCCTGGAGGCAATTTCAACAGTAAGTTCAAAAAACTGTACTATCATTTTTTAAAATGAGGTTTTATTAACATCTTCTCTTTCTTACATTGAGCATCCTTCTCCTTCTGTGTTCCACATAAGAAATAGTTTTTTTTTTTTCAGAGAGGAGAAAACCCCCCCAGCACAACTGATGAATATATTGAAAAGTCTGAAAACATATACAATGTGTAACAGCTGTGGGTCTTCCAACACCACAAAGGGGTAGGTCAGGGGTGTCCTCTCATATCTATTCAAGTCATGCTTGTTCTTCATAATTTTGTTGCATTTACTTTTGACTTTTTTTTTTTTTGGTATGCAATTATTCTTTCCATTTCCAATGCTGTTAGTTATTGTATGTATATTATTTTCTTGGCTCTGCTTACTTCACTCTTTATCAGTTCATGTGTATCTTTCCAGGCTTCTCTGTATTCATCTCAGACATTTCTTACAGCATGTTAATATTCCATTACATTCAAGTACGACAATTTTTTAGCCATTACCAGATTGATGGACATGTTCTTTGTGTTTATTTTTTTTCTATCACAAAAAAGTACTGCTATAAATAATTTAGTGTATGTGGGAATTTTCTTCTTATCTATGGCTTTCTTAGGGTATAAACTCAATAATGGAATCTGGTTCAAAGGGTATGGACATTTTAGTCAATGTATTTGCATAATTTCAAATTGCTTTCTAAATGTACTATTACTTATAATCACTGTAGTTCATATTTTTGTTGAATTGTTGTGTTTTTTTTTTGAGGAGGCTAGCAATGTGGGGGTGAAAGATTACATTTTTTGGATACGATTGAGGAGTCAAAACATAACATTGCCTCTGAAATAAAATAAAAATTCCTCACCCCAGCTTTTAAAGTATTCCATAATTTGTTTAATATAAGCAAAGCCATCCTAATAATTAGAGCTATTCAAAAAGCTCCTAAGATGGCACATTTTCTGTCAATGAAAGTGTTTAAGCAAAAGCTAGATGACTACTTGTTGGAGATGATTTTGAGGGGACTCATTCTTCAGATAGAGGGATGATGTAGATGATTTCTTAGGTCCCTACTAATTATAGGGCCCTGTGATTACATAGTCATTAATTTACCAAATACGTATTAAGTTAGTGCCTATAATGTATAGAGTATTACATTATAGTCTGGGTGGGAGATACTAACATAATTGAATTGTTCTGATATTTTACAAGATTAAATTAATCTTAATATAAATAGTTATAAAATAAGTATAATCAGTTGTGTTATTCTCAATATTATTATTATTTTTAGTTCATTTTTTAAAAAGAGCTTTGCTCTTAGAGATTCCTGTTCAGATATAGGTTGGACTAGATGACCTTTGAAGTACCTTCCAACTCTGAGATTCTGTGATTCTATGATTCATGTGTAAGGAGTGGGGTAAGAAAAAGGTAGAGAAGTGAAAGCTGTAGACAATACTGTACACAGTAGGCACTCAATAAATATTGATTGATAATCAGATCTATTTAAATCCCTCCTGAAAAGATTTTCCTGCCTCTACTCTCTCACCTCTAATCCATCCTTCATACTACTACAAGATTAATCTTTCTTATAAATAATTCTGGTCATTTTACTCTGATCAAAACCTTTCATTGGATTTGTATTTTCTACTGAATGAATGAATAAATGAGTGAAGTTCAAATGCATTCAAGGATCTGATGACATCCAATTTGCCAGTTTTCCCCTTCATGTTATTCTTATCTGGACATATTGCTTCACCTCTAACCAGTTGAACTACTTGCCATCCTCTCTATATACAATGTGCTTTTTTGCCCAATATGAATTCTACATTATCCCACCCTAAGGCTTTGCTAATGCTGTTTCGTATACCCAGAATGACCTTACTTCTTTTCTGTTCCAATTTGAATTTCCAACTATCCTTCAAATTAAACTCAAATATTGCCTCTCCTCATCCTCACTAGTAATTAAAGACCTTTCCCTTTCTTGAATATCACATAAAATTCCATTTTTGCCTTTTTAATGCACCCCCACTGGATAATTTTGTACTGTGGTGATTTGTCTGTCACATCCCTCTACTAGCCTGTTGACACCAAGAGGATAATGAAAATATCTTCTTTAAACTCTGAATCTCCCCAAGCACCTTGTACCTTGGTCAGTATGTAGAGGTTGGATCTTCAGCATGTCAAGTTAGTCTTCTATGGAGTATTTATGGAAAAATAAGAATTGTACAAGATAAAAAGGTTTATGTAAAAGGACTGAGACTTGTACCTATGGAGGATGCAAACATATAGACAATTCATGAATCATTGAAATATCGCAAGCAGCAATATTCATTTGTACATGAAAGCGTCCATATTTCTGGATTTGTATCAATCAGTGGAGCAGTCTAAAGAGGTAAGAGTTCTATGACTCTTTCGTTTATTGTTTCTTGTATCAGGTGGTGATACTGATCATTTCATATGCTAGTCTGCATGGTACCATGATTCTGAAACTGGTTTGAGCTCATTCTTTGTTCTCATTTTCTCTTAGAGAGTGCTTGCTTAAATCACTGTCAGAAATAATTGCTAGACATTTTATTCCAAAACTTCAAACTAAGTATTGAAGCTGAGATGGGAAGTTTCCATGTATTTCTTAAAATTTTAGCTTAGAGAAAGTTTCAATTACTCTGAGGTTAAGCTGAATGTAACCAAAAAAGCAACAAAGCTATCCAGGATGTATTAGCCTACATAAATATTTACCTTTATAATAGTTTTTTGCTAATCT